CACCACAACATTGCTAAAGCAAAGAAGAACTCAGCTAGCATGCTAGCTTTCGTGACCATGTGGTCTCTGGAGCAGCTGGAACGTGTGGTGGTGAGTCCGAAGGTCCAATCTCTTCGACCAATTTGTGGCCGTCATGAAAGCAACTTCAGAGTTCACAAACCTGTAGGTGCATTTGTGCCATCTACTCTGAACCTATCAAGCATACTGAGCCCAAAACATTCTCGGTTGTCCTCCAGGTTCACGGTGTTGCGCGGAGCAAAGATCAGGTAGAAGTACTTCAGCGTCTCACCCAACCAAAAGCTCTCCTTTCGCAAACTCAAAGGGCCAAGCAATCCATGTGGCCTTTGGATGGCTGAAATTGATTGTTGTGACAGGAGCCCCTAAATGAAAACGCAGTCCAAGCATGCTAGCCAGATCAAATGACGCTCCTGGGAATCCCTTTTTGGTGCGGTTCTCTTCCGGACATCGCTGATGGCTGAGAAGCCATACTTTACCTGGCGAACCATAGCACTAGCCTACAGTCAAAAATATGAAATAAATATGCATAAATATGCATTGGCTGTCAGCTGTAGGGCAACTTGTCCATTGGGTGGTTATCACCAGGCACGACCGCATGAATCCAATTGACCCAACGCAAGTGGATGCCAAAGGCCTTGCTGTACTTCAGGAAGGGCAAGAACATGTCATGGCCCTGGACATGTCCAAGGTGATTTCAAGCAAAGCCGAGAGCGGATGCCATGCGTTTTGGCGCTGCTTTCCCATAACATCATTGGCAGCTTGCTGTCTCTATGGCATCTCAGGCTGATACCCACTGCCGGTACTTGTGGTCCCCGGTGTAGTACCACATGTACCAAACGGCCTGAAAACAAAGTGAGCAATGTTCCACTGTTCGGCCGCTTTCAGTCGTGTCCACGGGTTCACGGGTTCCATGGATGAAATCGCGACCGTGAGGCATCCTGATTGGCACAACACAGTATGACGATGACCGAAGGAAGCTCGCCACAACATCCCAACACGAAATGCCCGTCGTTTGAAGGGGTGTGCGCTTGCCCACCTCCGCGGCTTCAGGCCGTAGCAGGTTCTGTGGCGCATCCCCCGGGATTGACATATCCGAGCCCTGGCGATTGGAAACTAAAGCAAACATTGTTACTACTAGTAAGGCACTTGTTAGTAGTAGCGATGCACTTGTTCCTAGTGATTTTACTGTTCCTAGTGCCAAAGAACACATGACAACGCGTTTATCTCTTTTTTTGCCCGCCCGTACTTCATTATATAAGTAGGTGCCTACGCTACTTACTAGCAATAGGAAGCTCGTCCTAGCTAGGACGCAGGATAGCTCACGCTTCTTCAAGGAAGCTCCCCCTGCCCGAGGGCGGGGGGAGCTTCCTTGAAGAAGTGCCAAGTGTCTACTGCACAGATCTGCACAGTGCAGCGCAAAAATCAGGCGTGCCTTCCCAGATCCAGGATTAAAGTTGACGTATTCCGGCGACAAACCGGTCGGCGTTCGCCTCGGACCCAGTGGAAAATCACCTTCACCAGGCATTCGCGTTCAGTGCTCGGCGAGCAGAAATGCGAAACAGCGAAAAGCCAGGTGACTGGCATCCGCCGCTTGTTCTGAGCTCATGACACATACATCTGATAACAGGTGTATGTTAAATCTGCCTTGGTGGGACAAGTCAATGCCCATTGTTGCATGGCAACAGCCAGCTAACATCTAGTTCCGACATGTTCCGACTGTGATTGCTTCAGTGCTTTCGCTTTCCGTGTATGCCGCATCTTTTTGTATGACCTTTCGATCTCAAGACATCGATGATCTCGCGAGCAAAAGCAGCTTTGAGTTTTCGCTTTGCTTTCGTGGTTGCACCACATTTGCATTCGCCGCGCCTTTGTTCCTTTTTGGGTTGCACCTATTTTGGGATTGTCTTTTGTGGGGAGTGGCACCCCCTTTCATCAACCACATTGGTAGCGGAGCCCTGAGGGGCGATTTTGGGGGATTCTTACATCTCACACTCGCTCTTGAGTGAGCCATGGCTGATGGGGCCCATGGCGCGGAGTTCACGGCGCCTGCGGAGCCGATGCAGCCGACGCCAGCGGCGACGGCGGAAGCGGCACAAGTGCCTGTGCCTGAAGATCCCTGGCAACAGGGACAAGATCCTTGGACGGGGTTCGGTGGAGGAGAAGTACCTCAAGCTGGGGTAGAAACGGGTTCTGTTTCGGCGAAGGGAAGCACTTTAGACCAACACTCGCCTCGACGCAAAGGAAAAGGCAAGGGTGGCAAGATGAAGATGGATACCTCACCTGATCCATCACAGCAGGTGCCCACTCCGGAGATACCTACTCAGGACCAGATGACACAGCCCGCCATGTCAGGACCGACGAACCAGTTTGTTCCGCCAACTTGGAGCACACCTCAAGTTTTTGGTCCACCAAGTGGTAATGGGTTACCTACAGTGCCACCGGGTTTTCCTATGTCTTCACCATCGGGTATGACCTCATTCATGTCGAGTATGACAGGCCCTTCACCTATGGGATCCATGATGCATGTGCCTCCTTTTCATGGACATGTACATCCAGGTCTTTATGCTCCTGTTCATGCAGGTCCTTGTGTATCAGGGGGGGGGGCAACCATGGATGATGATGCCGCCAGGTTATGCTTCATGGTTTGGTCATCCACCACCACCAGGTATGACCGTGGGAGCACCTATGCCCTCAGAAGGATCGAATGATTCCTGGTCCAGAGCCACTGCACCGGGACCTGAGAAGACAGCAAGAAAGCCGGCTAGTGGTGGTCAGCCTGATCCACCGCCATCGGAGCCGGAAGAGCCTGGTGATGAAGCTTCATCTACAGCGACTTCGGAGATCAAATCTATGCTGCGAAGGCGCATGAAGCAAGAGGAGAACTACAGACCCAAAAGCTCTCTTGGGTCAGTGAAGGTTGAAGAGTTCTATGGCGATCGCAGCAGGTACTTGAAGTGGAAAAGAACCATCCAAGCTCAGCAGCATCTCTATGCACTGGAGGGTGGAGAGCTGGCCATGTTGGTGTATCTTTCCACCCGGAGAGAAGCAAGGGATGTCGTTGAACAACATCCCATTCAGGCATACACAGAAGCTGGAGGATTGCAACTTCTATGGCGTGTCCTGGATGAAGCGTTCGGTGAAAGTGATGCGGAGCTCTTCGAACGGGTGGACAAGGAGATGGAGCGCTGCCGGAGACAACCCGGAGAGACGATCGCACACTATCTCTCTGAAATGAAGCGGCTTCGAGCTCAGTACAGCCGTGTTGACCCTGAATCCAAGATCTCGGACATGGCTTGGGGACAACGACTACTCCAACGAGCATCTTTGTCGAGGAGAGAAAGGCATGATGTGTTCTATGCCGCTGGAGCTTGTTTCCAAAGCAGTGCCATCGAGAAGGCCTTACGTGTTCGGTGCAGCCGCATTCACGAAGATGAGAAGAAGAGTGGTTTCCGCACCTTTGAGGACAAGAATCACCACCACAGGCCAAAAGGGCAGCAGTTCTACAAGAAGAAAGTGGTGATCAAGAAAGGCCATGGCACGCATATGGTCGCAGAGGAAGACAATGGCATTCCAGAAGAAGAGGAGGAAGCCATGGAGGAGGACACGGCAGAGGTGTTGTTTGAAGATGAATGTGAAGATCCTGAAGAAGATGAAGCCGGTGGCATGGAGGAGGATGATATGGAAGAATATGATGAGGATGAGTTGAAAGAGATCTTCGCGGCAGGCTGGAAGGCCAAGCAGCGGACAGCAGAAGTTCGCAAGAATAGAGGATGGAAGACCACGGGAGAAAAAGGACAAGGCGGAAAAGGCCAGAAGCCGGTGGATCTGAAGAAGAAGAGCAGCACTTGTTCGAGTTGTGGGAAGGTAGGTCATTGGAAGGGTGATGCATGCTGCCCCAACGTCCTCAGCGGACGGGATCAACCTCACATCCCGCCTGCCAAGAAGCCTGCGCAGACGGTGCATTTCACCTTCATGACCGGTGGCTATGAAGATCCATCTCCTCCTGGACATTGCCCACGATGTCGTTGGCCGGTTCCCTTGGCTCAGAGATTCTGTGGACAGTGTGGTCAAGAACAGGTCCAGCAAGATGCAAGAATGCTAGGAGGAAAGCGGTTCAAGCAGGAGGAAGAAGAGACACCCGTGGTGAAGAGCGAAGATGATGAATGGGACGTTATGGAGCCCACACCTTGTCCCGAAAACTTCAGCTTCACAGTTCCCAAGCATGAGGCAGCAGCAAGTGATCCACGAGGACCGAGTGGGACCAGTGGGAAGGGGCATGGGTCCGTCAAACTGGGACCGAAGGAACTCATGGCAGCCTTGCCGGTGCTTTCCAAGGATGTGAAGAAGGAGTTGCAGAAGGCTTTGAAAGAAGATGAAGACCGTCAAGCCTATCAAGACATTCAGAAAGAGCTCCAGTTCACTGCTGAGTATCTGCCTTGGAAGATGGCTGACTATCGCCTTCTGGAACGCATGGAGGAGTTAGAGAAGAGAGGAGCCGCATCCACTGCGAGTGCTTCAAGTGGACAGCAGATCCAGGGACCAACACGACCCTCTCCGCCTCCCAAAGAAGGCGATGTTCCAAAAGCTGTCAGGGACAAAGAGCTGAGGAGCTTTCGTCTTGGACTTTATCAAGCCCAACAGCAAGGTGAAAGACTGATCCCTTCCAAGGCAGCACCATTGCCGACAGAGAGACAAGCTCATTGCCATCATCCCTTCTCAGCTTTGCGGTGGAGCGCCAATCAGGATGGACACTATGCCAAGTGCAAGGATTGCGATCTCAAGAGTGTCATCTACTGGACTGTCAAGCACGGTGCTATGATGGTGGCCTTGGCTCATGAACGACCGGAAGGAGTGACAAGTCAAGCTAAGGTGTGGATTCGTGAAGATGAGGCCAGCAAGACCTTGAAGAAGATCAATGCCGGAGGACCCAATGCATCTCAGGTGTGCTGCCGGGTGACTAAGACCGGCGATGGACAAGTCCTGAACAAAGATGACTACACGGGACGTGAGGTTGCTCTGGAGGCACCCTTGGTAAAGCTGATCACCCCTTTGATCACTGAGTTCTGGTATGTGGAGGAGACACAGGTGGAGATCTATGAGCTCAACAAGAAGAAATTGCCTCCACACCTGCAGACACCCGGACTGGCAATAGCTGATTCAGGATGCCGCAATTCGGTGGGAGGAAGATTGTGGCATGAAGCCTTCCAGCAAGCCCTCACAGCTCACCAGATCCCGTGGCAACAAGTTCAGGAATATGAAGTCTACAGGTTTGGTGCAGGAGCTCCGGTCATCAGTCACATGGCCTGCATCTATCCAGTCTTGGTGCATGGCACATGGGATGTCATCCGGATGTCATGTGTTGAAGGGGAAGCCATCAACTGTCCAGGACTGATTGGGCCTTCAGAACTCAGCCGTTGGAAGGCAGTCTTCAGGTTCGGCGAACGGGCTCTCAAGTTGAATGGAGTGAGCCGGCCGATGACTTTGACATGGACTCGACACCCAGGTATTCAGTTGATGGACTATGACAAGACAAAAGCAGAAGCAGCCTCCGATTTCTGGGTGTCTGAGGATGGCATGGGCAGGAGAAAGATCCTGGAAGAAAATCCACAATCGCTGTCCTTCGTGGCTGAAGAAGGTGAAGTGGAGGAAGCAGAAGGGTCAGAAGAAAGCCCAAGTGAAGAGTCAGGCCAAGAAGAAGATGATCGGCCATACCGTGAGAAGAGAATGCAGCAATGGTTTGACCGATTGCAGGCAGACTTGGGCATCAAAGTCATTGATGAGGCCAACTTCCAAGAGGAGTCAGGAGGTGAGACAAGTCAGGAGGATGATGAAGAACAATCCTCTTCTTCCCATGAAGTCGGAATCGAAGCCGTCTCCAGCGACTCAGAAGATGAAGCAGAGGCTCAAGAAGATGCACAAGAGAGAGAAGAGGAGGTTGCAAGGCAAGGTAAGAAGAAGGTGATGAACAAGCACCTAAGGAGGAAGATGGGGCACCACGTCCATGAGATCAACGGCTCCTTCAAGCAAGAAGAAGATAAGATGCAGGGCCCGGAGGTGAGAGAAGCCTTCATTCAACAGAAGGGAGGAAGGAAAAGGCGTTGGTCGGTTTTGGAGGTGTTCACATGGACCTGTGCCATCTCCCTGGTGGCTTCTGCACGTCACTGGGAGTTCCATGAACCGGTGACTCTGCCCAGATGGGATTTGATGAAGTCCAATGATTACGAACAGGCCTTGGAGTACATCGATCGAGTGGCACCTGATCTGTTGGTGTTGGCTTGGCCATGTGGTCCATGGAGCCCACTTCAAACCTTGGGCAGAAAGACACCTTTGCAAAGGGAGCAGTTGGCACAAAAGAGAGAGGAAAATAGGACCCTCCTTCGCTTCGTACGTGATGCAGCACTACAACAAAGACAAAGAGGAGGTGCACTACTGGGAGAAAATCCAAAACCCTCTCTGGCATGGCAAGAACCGCTCATACAGGAAGCGTTCCAAGACACACCGTCAACGGTGTGCGACATGTGCCAATTTGGCCTTCGACTTCCAGATGGTCCATTTCTGAGGAAGAGAACCAGACTGCATGGGACAAAGGAGATCATGGACCGCTGCAGTCGTATTTGTGACGGAAACCATGAACATACCCCAGTAGTTGGGGGGGCCCGAATCCAGGGCGAATGGATGCCAGTCTCAGCCTTTGCAGGTGGATACACCTCAAACTTCGCCAAAGCAGTGATCCTGGGTGCAGAAGACTATCTTAGTGGTAGAAGAAGGCATGAGACTTTCGCTGAAGGAGGGCATCTGGCAGAAGAAGAGTTCATGGAAGAAGAAGAAATGGAAGAACAGGAAGAGGAGGCTGAAGAAGGAAAGGAAATAAAGAAAGGAAGCACAGAGTGGAAGGTTGCTCAGGTCCACCAACGATTGGGACACCCTACAAGACAGACTTTGGTCAGGATGTTGAGTTTGGCCGGGGCACCTAAGAGTGTGATCACTGTCGCTGAACAGTACCAGTGCCCAGTTTGTGATGCAGTCGCAGCACCAGGACGCTATCCCAAGCAGAAACCAACAATGCGGCCAACAACTTTTGGAAAGGAGGTTCATCTGGACCTGAAATACATGCATGACAGTGCCCAGAAGCTCTTCGTGGCCCTGAGTATTGTCGATGGGGCCACCTCCTTCCACACAGCAGTGCTCCTACAAAACAGAAAGGCCAACTATGTGGCAAGCAAATTCCACCGACACTGGTGCAGCCTCTATGGATCTCCCACCACTGTGTTCATTGACCAAGGAGGCGAATTCGATGGAGAGTTCGTGGGTTGGTTGGAAGCACATGGAGTCCATTCACGATGTACAGGAGCAAGAGCAGGATGGCAGCACGGATTCTCAGAGAGGCATGGAGGACTCCTTGGACACGCATGGCACGCTGTGATTTGGCAATTCCAAGCCAAAGGCAAGGCGGACATGAAGGAAGCCCTATGTGCAGCCATCCAAGGAAAGAATCAGACCATCACAAGGGGTGGTTCAACACCCTATCAAATGGTCTTCGGAAGAACACCCATGTTCCCAGACCTCCTGGATGAAGACACCACTGGCAACCTGGCACTTCGTGAGTCAATGACACAAGAAGGAGAAATCCAAAGGTGTGCTGAGATGAGGGCCGCGGCCAAGATAGCACTGCTCAGGCAAGATTGTCAAGACAAGCTCAAGAGAGCTCTCCGTCGCTGGCCAAGGGGGAAAGTCAAGGACTTCGCACCGGGGGAGATGGTCTTTTTCTATGCCCCGAAACCCACAGCGGCAAGGTTCAAAAGAGATGGAGGAGCGTGGAGAGGACCAGCCATTGTTCTGATGAAGGAGAGTGCTGAACGATATTATGTGAGCTGGCGAGGCCGTTGCTTGCTAGTCGCTGGTGCCAACTTGAGAACATGCAGTGCCCTTGAAGGTGGTGATTTTCGTGGACGTGTGGAAGAGCTGGGACACCTCGAAAAGAAGTGGGATGATCAACAAGAGAAGGCCTATGAAGATCTCTCCCAAATTCCACTACCACCTGAAGAACCAGAAGAAGAGCAAGAAGAGGTTGGGTGGAAGCCTCAGGAAGGAATGATCATTCCCACTAGAGGAGGAAGGAAGAAGTTTCAGGCCAAAGAGATTGCCAAAAGTTTGAAGGGGTTGAGGAAAGTCCAGAAGACGATCAAGAAGGATAAAAGCCGGGACAAAGTGCAATTGAGGATGCCAGGAGTCACCAAGCTACCACGTCAAGAGGAAGAAGAGAAGAAGGAGGAGGAGCAACCTCAAAGAGTCCAAGAAGATCCGGAAGAAATGAAGAAGGCAGAGAAAGCGATCCAAGAGCAGTTTGATCGTTGGTTGAAGAATGAGGAGGAGAAAGATGGCTTTAAGAAGAGACTCCGAGATGCCCTTCAAGATGACGTGCCAATGAGCATTAAGCAGAAAAGACGCCTTGAAGAGCCAACAGGTGGACTCCCTGAAGAGCAACTCCGAGAACGTTTCAGTCCTGAAGTGCTGCACTATACCATGCTGAGCTTGGTGACGAGTAAGAAAAGATCAAATGAGTGGGCCTCAAGACAAGAGGTAAGGAAGATGTCCCAGATCTTGGACCTCCCGATCACCAGCCTCAGGTATCATTTGGCACCCAGGAAAAGACTTCAGAAGCCTCCCAAAGAAAACAAAGCCAGGATCACCGTCATGTTTGGCGAGACAAGTGGAACTGCGATGATATGTCAAGAGAACAGTGATGAGGTCAAGTCTAGACCAAAGAGAAGAGTTCCACACCACTGGCGAGGGATGACTTTATTCCTGAGGGAGGCTGAAAAGAAGAAGAAGAAGGATGGGATGGCCCTCGTGGAACTTCCTCACGGAGTATATGAAGTCAAGGTGGAGGACTTAGAGGAATGGATGAGACTCCGGCAACAAGAAGAAGATCAACAAGCTTTCCATGAAGCATACCTGTTGGTCAACAAAGCCAACGGGAAAGAGCTAGACCCAAGAAAGTTCAATGAAGAAGAATGGAAAGCTTTTGAAGAAAGTGATGCAAAAGAATGGGCCTCCTGGATCGACAATAAAGTCGTGAGGAGATTGACTCCACAAGAAATCAAAGATTTAGATCCAAGAGATGTGTTCAGGGCACCAGCGAGACTTGTTCGGGTCAACAAAGCCGCTTTGACAGGAGGATTTCAAGCGAAGTCAAGACTTGTCGTGCCCGGCCATCAAGACCCGCACTTGGGACAGTTTCGTTCTGATGCACCAACGACAACCTGGGCAGCAGTACAGCTGACAAAGATCATCACCTTGACCCGAGGATGGAGTGCAGCTTGCTTTGATGTCAGCACGGCATTTCTTTCTGGCCGTCCTGTGGAAAGGAAGGTGGTGATTAAGGCACCACCGGAAGGACTTCCAGCAGTCAGAGAAGAGAAGCCGATCAAACCCTATGAGCTCCTCCTCTTGTGCAAGTCAGCATATGGATTGTCAGAAGCCCCAAGATTGTGGTATCTTCGAGCTAAGGAACTGCTGGAAGAGCTTGGTTTCGTGGAATTGGATATGTGCAGGGCAACATTCATCATGAAGAGGCAAAATGAAGTCACAGCCATCTTGTGCCTCCATGTTGATGATGGTTTCTTGGCTACTGCACCCTCCGAGATGTCCGACACCCAGAAGAGAATCAGCTCGAAATTCAATATCAAAGAATGGCAGAACTTGGGTGAGAAGCCTATCACCTTTCTGGGCGTGAAGACACAGCTTCACCAGGGCAAGTTCATTGATGATATGAGCGAGTATGTTAGCAAAATCCAACCAGCGGAGATCAAGAGCGACAAGGAAGAATTGCTGGCTGGAGAACAATTGTCTGCATACCGCCGCCTCATCATGCAATTGAGGTGGCCAGCTCATTTAGTCATGCCTGAGTTCTTGTATCGTGTGAGCGCCTTCTCCCAAGCAGTGAGCACCGCTCGAGGCAAAGATCTGGCAATGGCCAATGCAGTGTTGGCTCAAATGAAGCAAGCGGCGGCATCTGGAGCAGCAACTAATGTGCTTTATCCTGTTGGTGGCACGCCCTTGTTTGTCTCCTACTTCGATGCCTCCCTTGGAAAATCTGAAGCCATGAGTGCTCAGCAAGCAGAAATCCACTTCCTCACGAGCACTACGGTAGAAAGCAGGCCAAGTCAAGCCAGCTTGCTCGAGTTTCAGAGTTGCAAGGTGCATCGCATCGTCAGGTCATCATTGGCTGCAGAATCTTGTGCAATGACCTCGGCAGCAGACAGGCTTCTGTACAACAGGGCATTGTTTGGAGCCTTGTACCATGGCTGCACTGAGATCACCCCTCAATGGAGGGGCCAGTTGACCACCGATGGAGTGATCATCACGGATGCCAAGGGCTTGAATGACCACGTGAGTAAGACAGGAAGCATGGCCAGTGAGAAGCAAACGGCTCTGGACATGCTGATGGTGAAACGTTTGGTGGAAGATCAAGTCATCCGCCTAAGGTGGGTACCTACATGGAAGCAAATGGCTGATCCCCTCACGAAGGAGATGAATGGTGATCTCCTGACCACCTTTCGAAAGACCAACTCCCTCTGTTTAGTTGAAACAGCAGAGGACCAGCTTGAAGAGAAGAAGAGGGCATCAGTTCGCAAGGCTCAGAGAGAGCGGCGCAAAATGCGCATGCAGGCAACACGGAAATACAATCTCCCTGTGATGTGATTGCTTCAGTGCTTTCGCTTTCCGTGTATGCCGCATCTTTTTGTATGACCTTTCGATCTCAAGACATCGATGATCTCGCGAGCAAAAGCAGCTTTGAGTTTTCGCTTTGCTTTCGTGGTTGCACCACATTTGCATTCGCCGCGCCTTTGTTCCTTTTTGGGTTGCACCTATTTTGGGATTGTCTTTTGTGGGGAGTGGCGCCCCCTTTCATCAACCACACCGACATCCAAAGAAGAAGGTCGCGCACATTCATCACACAACTCATACATGCTGACATGCGAAAACCGACTCAAATTCACCCAAAGGGGGACGATAGACTCTATGGTGATGTTGTCTACAAGTGTCTATGTCTACGTTGCAGTCTGACCACCATCACTTGCCTTCAGAAACGCTTGTCAGAATCTGGGGTGGTCACAGCGAAGGGCTCCCACCGCGCATCTACCTGCATTTGGCCCAAATGCTGGCGCATGCCATGGTTCTCAGCGCATGTTGATAGGAAATCGTCCGATGTTGCTCAACTTTCTGGCGTGCAGCCACAACTTCAATGGACCGTTCCGAAGCTCGCCTCTTCGGGCGGGAGAGAACGGCTGCCAAGCATCAGCATGCCAGCCTCCGGACGGTGTCAATCTGCACTGTTTCGCATTGATCAACTCCACTTGAGGCACTTTGAAGTCGGGAGCAACCATCATCCAGTGTGTAGATGCGTGTAGGTAGATGCTTTTGGTCTATGATTGTTCAACTGCAGGGTTTCGGCCATCCGTGCCCAAGGGCCCGGACAACAAAGCAGGCCAAATGGTCCATGCGGTTGCGCTTTTGCCCGCCCCTTAGTGCGACCAATGTCAAGCTCTTCCAACCCAGCGGGTAACATGAGTCAAAGTCGGTCCTACACTGACCAATCTGCACTGAAGACCTGAAGGCATGAGGGCCGAACTCCAATTCAGCGAGAAACTGCAAGCCTCCTGCAGTCTTCGAAACCTGAGTTCTAAAATGAAAGTTGATGTCCACCGTCCACAGCAGAAAGAAAGTGCAATGAAAACGGAAAAATCTGTCATGGGTTCAAGTACAGGTTGTGGGGGACCCAACTGGGGCAAAATTGTCTCTACACTCTGTTTGCCAGCACGGTCCATGTTCTTGAGGGCGAGTCCATTTGGTCAAACATCTCCTTCATGGCCTGAGCTTCTGTCTTGGCACCGCACATCACCGCACTCTGTGGAAGCAAATAGCTAGAAAGCATGGAAAGCCACTAGCAAGGCCAGCCATTACAAGACAAATGGCCTGCACTCCATCGACTATCGTGACTATCGTGGTCTAATGCCATGCTTTTGGTTGTGACCAACATGACTCCGGCACAGGCCACACTCACTCTGACTCTCGACTCAAAGTGCCCTGAAGGCACGCCCGACACATCGCCCGACTGTGCCCGGAGGGCCCGGCCCTCTTCCATGCCTCCTTTAACTGGACCTCGGCACTGACTGTCACAATCAGCACAAGCATCTTCTCTGAAGGCATCCTCTCCTGCTGAAAGGATGTGCAATTTAATATTTGTTGTGTACCTAATATTTCTCTATGTGTGCTTTTTTTGGTAAATTATGTGCCCCCGAAATCAGTCTGGGCATCCTCACATCTCTCTTGCCTCCCTGAATCCAAAGCTTCAGCAAGTACTCGTAATAGGAGTCACCTTGTGGATCCAACACAGGTTTCACATGTGTTCACTGAATGCTGAAGCAAGCAATGATCTCACACTACTCTGACACTCTTGCACATTCAGCCAAAGCCAATGGCATTTGTTCGGGCTAATGTGCTGCTGCGTCATGCTGTTTTGCAATCCATCCCAGAATGTCTGTGCCTCTGACGTTTCTCTCTACAGACTCTACCACACCTTTGGGAAGTAAATGTATCGTGTCTTGGGCTAAGGCTGACCAAGGCCTATGGATTCCCAAGATCCACTCGTTTCATCGAGTTTCCACATCCCTTTGGCTTTTCTGAATTGATCCAAACGGCCCATGGCTCCCATGGACATCTTACTCCCCACGAAGGACACTGCCTGAGGACGGCATCTTTGCACAACATGTACTTTTTGTTGTTGTTGTTGTCTTAGAAGTAGATACCTGTGCACAATTGTGCACTCATTATTTTCTTGATATACATGGGGCTCATGCACATGCGTTGCAAGGCAACTGCACATTGCATCACAGCTCCCCTTAGGCTCAAGCTTGCTTGTTGGGAGAGCTCAAATAGATCCTTGGAGTGGACGAGGGTAGTGTTGCCGATGTTGCACTACATGGGAGTGCAAGGCTATGCAAGGCTACACAAACTGCGATGGAAGATCTTTACTCAGGCCAATGATGAATGCTGCTGGCTGCTACCTGCTGCTAGCTCTGAGGAAGAGATGATGAATGATGATGAATGCATATGATTACATTTACATTCACAACACACAACGACCATGCAGCAAGCCGAGCCACGCAACATCGAGCTGCCCATTTCAATCGATGCGGAAAAAAAAACCAATTGCGGTCACTTCAAGCCTCATTGAGGCCTATATACAGGGCCCTGCGGTCTGAGTCTATTGTACATACAAATCACTCGCTCATGCAAAGCAAAGGCATGCGCAAGCAGCAAGAGGGCACTTCACATATAACGGGATTGTCACAGGAGACAGTGGGTTCTCACTGCCCCCATGTGCGGCTCCTCCCGGCGATGCCTTGAGCAACCATGCTTTGGAATTTGAGTGAGGGGTTATTCTGGATGAGTTGGAACGGGGCCCGGTCATCTTCACCTGAAGCTGCACAAGGATCTCGCATCCATGAGAGGGCCTATGACGACAGGCACCCTTGAAAGGAGACTGTCAAGCGTATGAGCCAGGCCAAGCCCCAACAGTGAGGCAAAGGACATGGATGGACAGAAAGAGATGGACTGGGAACTGACCGTGGAATGCTACATCCATACGGGGACAGTTACGGGGATGCTGGCGGGTCATCCAAACCAAGCGGTGCGATCTCAGAAACAAAAAGTGTGAACTTCTGATCTCGGATGATCTCAGTTGCAAGCTTGGCCTTCCACCCAATCGACGCTAAAATGTCTACCATACTGCAAGTATTGTTCTCCTTCCGCCTGAGCAGAGACGGATCTCTCTGGGGTTCATTTACCGCTGACGAATCTGTTTGGTATCCTCAGGTTGCCAGGTCCTGGGCAGCCGCCAAGAGCCTCAGCCATCAATTGGGTGAAGCCTTGGGTCAAATCAATCACGATATGTATATAAATATCTTAGCCGCTCTTCGAACAGGTTTTGCTCTCTCAAAGTCGAGTCATCGGTGGGATAGGGAACTGGCCCAACCCAGTCTAACGTCAGATGTCCCTCTAGTAGGACCCATGCAATC